CACAAAATCTGCTCTCCAGAGAGAGAGAGAGAAATTAACAATTTGACTTGATTGGGCGGAACGAAATGATAGCAAAAATAAAGAATTCATTGCCTCACCATATTGCGAGTAATTATTCGTCCCACGGTAGTCAACCGGAAACTACTCAATGAAAACCGACTTGGGTCCAAGGGCAAGTACCAAGGCAACGGAGAATCTTCAGCAAGATCCTTGTCCCAAATAACCTTCATGAATACAACAACTCATATTCATTATAGATCGGATGAAACACCATGCTATTGAGAAGAAAAGAAATACTTGCAGTATTTCCTGTTGCAGGAGTGGGGATTTCCACCCAGGTAAATCCTAGGAGATTAAAGGAAAAGAGAGAGAGTGCTATGTCTTACCTCAAACCCAGCATCTTTAACAGCTTGAAGACATTGCCGAGTACTTCTGATATCTGGCAGACCATTCCCAAGCTCAATTTCATCCTTAATCCTCTTGTGGGTTGCATTGTTTGGATCATAGTGATCGGTAATGCACCACTCATATACAGCAAAACACTGCCCGGGTTTTAATACACGGTAGATCTCCTTGTAGCAGCCAACCTGTGCAACAAAAAGGTCAATTCACTTTTATAAGAGAAGACATGTTGCCTTAATGGCATAAACAGCATCGAAAGAGTTGTAGAGTGACAGAGGTCATACCGGATTAGGTGCGTGGCATGTTGCCTCGATGGCATAAACAGCATCAAAAGTGTTATCAGAGAATGGCATCTTCATGAAGTCTGCCTGTATTTCAGAACAATATGTGGGAAATATAAGTACTGTTATTTAAAATCTTTTCCATATCCAGGAACTACATACAAGCATCGATCTTATACATTTTTACACAACTAATATGTGTCTTTATCAAATAAAGATTACTTTATTAAGGAGGTTGATCACATGTTTATATGGCAGCACAACTGTTCTAAAAGTCTGACGCCTATCCCACCTAGGGGCGACCAGGTGCCACACCATCACCCGCCTAGCGTTTTTTGTAACTGTGAGCAAAGCAAATACAAAAAAAAAATTGCCTACAAAAAGAGAGTGCGAGGAGCCGAGGACAATAGCAGATAAAAAAAGCTAAACACAAAACAAAGTGATCTAGTGGGTAAGCAAACAATACCTTGACAAAATCACAAGTTGCGCCAAGTCCTACCGACCGATTAAGCGCCTGAAATACAAAGATCATTATTAACAGAAGAGTTATGTGATAAGTACACTTAATGGTGCACATTTAACTGAATTTGTTAATCGTCAACAGCAGAATCAACCAAAAAATAATGAGCATTGAACAACCTTTCCCCTAGTTATCTGGTAGTCGTTGTTGTTCAATCCAGTAACTGAGGTGGAGCTGCAGATAACGGTTGCCTGATCAGTGGCTGCAAGTATAATGTACTAAACTACTGATAATGAAAGATGACAAAGCCAATAGTCCTTTTCTAACTTACAGATGCAGTTATACATCTTCCTTAGGTTACAAACATAAGAGATAATAAGTATTAGTACTACTGGTGAAATGAAAGTAAATATTGATGACTTCCTGGAAAGCGTTAAGTCAAACTTCTCTAACTTTAACTACAGTGTTGATGTATAAATAACTGAGATTGGTGAAATGGAAATAATATCATTAGACTTTTCATCAAAATATTTCATAATTATGCAAGTTTTTTAAATTACATTTTAATATAAAAACAAAAGTCAAAGTTGCATCCTGGAGACCATTACCATATCTAAAACATCACCGATTTTGGAATGGAGGAAGCAGTTAAATTGTTGAGTGGCTGATTACCGTGATTTAACAACAAATAAATCAAGGCTGATACTAAAAATATTTTTGGTGCTATGTACACGATCATCTCAGTTTTCAACTTCTCCAAAGAAAAAGATCATGATAAATATAATTGAAAGGTAAATAATATCTAGGTCTTCTCCCCAAAATCATGCTAGCACAAGTTTACAGTTCTAAGTAATAAAAACATGAATCACTTCAGATGCATTAATCGTGCATACGAGAATGTCTAAACCCGAACAGATCACAATTCACATATATGAACAGAGGTGAAATAGTGAAACAGGAATTAAACCTAAATCTCGCAATTTCTCTTAATGGCCCGCCTATTCCACAGCCGACATCCAAAACCTACAGCAAACAAGTTTAGCAAACATCAGGATATTGTATGTTACATTATCATGTTATGCTGCAGCAAGAGCAGCTTAAAAAGGGAAAACATTCTGTCATAGGTTATTCTATCTTCATAAGAAAACTGACCTTCATCCCTGGTTTCAACTCAAGCTGTAAAGCCAGAAAGTGCTCGTGCCGTTTGATGCTTTCCCTTAAAGATTCTCCATTCCACCTGAAATGCCAAGAGAGATGGGGAATTACAGTTAGCAATGTTCTACTACATCTTTTCATATAATTTTTTTCTTTAAAAGCGAGATGATATATTTTTCATGAAAAATGAAAGATCAATCATGTATTCTTTGGATAAGAGTCCTCACCTGTGAGCAAAGTGGAAGGACTCACCCCAGCCATACTCATAGAAGCTAGTAGCAAGATCATAGTATTTATTAACCTGGTAAACATCATAGTATTAGGTTGGACACTAACATGGGCCATGGGGTGATGCAGCACAGAAAATAAATGTGAGCATTCTCAATTCATAACAGTATTCATTTCATTTACCACAAAAACAAGAAAGTGACTATTCGATAATACTCCCTCCGTCCCAAATTACTTGTCTTAGATTAGATTTGTCTAGATGCGGATGTATCTAACATCAAAAAAGGACTGTAAATGGCAAAAACTAAGAAGGTGCATATGTATTTGTTACTTCAACCATCATCCGAAATTCCTGACTACTTAGAAAGGTTTTGGAGATTCCAAATCAGCTTTGAAAGAACACTGACCCTCTAATGACACTGGATTATCAGAGCTGCAGGCTAACAATTTGATTTATGTATGGTGAAGCTAATTACACTACAACAATCCATTCATGACAAAATGATCATCGCAGGCTAAAATAATAAGTTGAGTAGGGAAGCATGAAATTTACAAAGCCATTCCTCCAAAACAAATATAAAATTAATAAATGTGCTGTTTATCCATGTCCCGTATAAGATAACAATTATTACCATATCGGTGTAGTTGGATTTCCTCGATTCCTCCTTCCCTCCGTAATATCCATGATATTTCTCATACCTTGTGAAAAACAATTGTCCCAAAATTAGGAGTAGGACAAGGAAAAAATAACTCAAGAAGTGAATGAACATAAACAGAACTGTGTAGGGAATAAAGACCCCGGCTAACAAGATTACACTCGGCAGATCCTACAACGCGCGCAGAGGCAAAAACACAGACATTATGATGCCCCTTAAAAGAGTGTGCACATGTGAAAGGATGAGTTTAACATTCAGGCCTTAAAAAGCCATGACATGGTTCAGGCCTTTAAAAAAAAAGACATGGTTCAGGCCTTGAAAGAAACATGGCATGGTTCTTAGGTACAGTGCTACTACTAGGTACAGTTGGATGACTTGTAGTACTGGCACACCGAGGGGGCAGATAGCTACATCTTGAGATGTGCATTTAATCCACCAAAGACTTAAGTGTTGGAATTTAGGCCAGGAATTCCGAGCCCATCAAGAAGCGCGGAGAATTATCATCCAACCCATGTACTAGTATGGGCGCAGATCGCGAAAGGTAGATTAATGAGAGCCGCCCGCCAACTGGAAAAGGACGTGTGATGTGAGGTGAGGGAGAAGAGAAACAGAGCACGGTTTTTCTCAGAGCAGAGCATTGCAGAGCAGCTCCTGGTAATCCTACAATACAAACCAACCAAATTTGGAGCAAAATGTTTGTATTTCATATGATTTGGGGCGCAGAAATGGGACGAGGATCCTCTGCCGTTCGGCAGGGTGCCGTTCGACCACTGACTGATGGACCCATCGGGGAACAGGCCCACATGGCAGCGCCACAACGGCAGGAGCCGCACGTCAGGGGAGCCGCTTCCGCAGAAATGATGGTTTGGAAACTTAAAAACGACAGGGTGAGTGTCACAGCCCAGCAGCACTGAGTGTATTGAGTAAAGGTGTGTAGCAGTTGGATCTGGTGTACTACTAGGAAAGATCTAGTC